GCTCCTTGGTCCTGCATGCTTGCGTCTTTGAGGCCATGTGTGTGGGCTCATCGGTCACTAGTGCTCCCATGGTTCATCAGCCTTTTCTGCAGGTCCATTACAAGGCCGAGCAGGCTGCGCCTCGCTCTGTGCTCTTTCTTCAAGACCTTCCAGGATCTTCAATACCTTTGAGACTGCTGACCCCTTTCGCTGTTACCCCACTGCTTTCCTCCGGGGAGTCTTAGCATCATGAACTGCAGTGCTTGAAGGAAGGAACTGGTCACCTAATCTATTGTCGTCTTTCATGGAGGATTTCAGGGAAAGGAAGAATAGCATGCTTTATTAGATTGAATTAGATGCTTAATGGATTGAGTGATACAAAAAAAAGTGCATCAGTTGCACTGGGCCATGCTTCTCAGTGGTTTGATGGTTATGTAGTGATGCAGTCAGCCCTGCGGAACAGTAGATGCATGATATATGATAGGGTATTCATTTGTAGAGGGTGAGTGAGAGAAGGTACTCTCAGGTCACATTCTCTGATCTCGTGAAAGGGGAGTTTCTCTGGGTTGTGGCCTGCGTCAATTCTTGTTGTATAAGAGTTAAAAGAGAGAAGTGAGCTGAGAAAGAGGGACCTGCCCACCACCAAGGAAGACCGGGGAGTGGAGTCCTTCCTCTGAATCCAGGGTCCTCTGTGGAGACCTCCCGCCTTAGGAGGAGTATTCCTGCCGAGATACATGCAGATCTCCAAGGGCTGCAGGCTCCACAGATGTTGAAAGGAGAAAGCACTTCCTTAGAACTGGTCCCCTGATTACGGATTTCGAGGGTACCTAACCCCTGAACTGTGGAGAATATAAAGTTTTATTTATTAGAACCATCTACTTGTGATATTTCTGTTCTAGCAGCACTAGACAGCTAAGACAAAGAGGTTCTCCCAGAATGAAAAGCTCCGTAAGGTGACTCATCTCCATCTCACCCTTCCATATAGATGGTGGTAATGGGGGGAACTCCTTTTGAGCCCTTCTACAAGGACCCGTGTGTAGATATTTACCTGGACTCTTTGAGGGAGACTTTTTTTGCCGCCCCCTCCCCACTCTTATTCCCT